GTGACGTCGTCAGTGACGGATTTGATCCGCGCCGCATACGCGGGTGATGGTATGTGTGCAGCACTGCTTCCGGACCTTAGGAGCAAAGGGTTTAAGAACTCGGGCAAGAAAATGTCGGCGCGATTGCGCGCAGGGTTACACCGATATTCGTTAAGTAACGGGTTGCTGTATTATAGCACTGATATAACAGATACGCCACGAATTCTGGTTCCTCACGATCAGGATTTAAATAGCGTATTCTCTATTAGGCTCACGACACCCAACTTAGTGGTCATCTTGGTCGTGAGAAGCTGTACATGTGTTTGGCCTGCCGAAGGACATGGCGGGCAACACGTGTGTGATGGTCTTTGTGGACCATTTGAGCAAGATGGATCATCTTACGGCAGGGTTGGACATCATCTAAGGTGTTGGTACGGCGACGCTGTTTGTCGATTGTGTCTTTCGACAACATGGACTCCAAGAGTCAATTGCCTCTGTTAGAGATCCGCGCTTCACTGGGAAGGGTTTGGCCTATGCTATTCAGGGTGCTGGGCACCAAGTTGACAATGACAACAGTGGACCATCCACAGACCGATGGTCAGACTGAGCGCGTAAATCCCGTAGTTGAAAACGTCCTTCGCAGCGTCCGCGCTGAGACGCCGAAGCGCTGCGTATGTTGTCACTCGTAGAATTTGCGCTGTACAATGCAGTGCATCCATCACCATGTTTTCTACGTGAACGGGCTTATTAATTCTCGCGTCCCGCTGAAGCCGCCACTCCATGGCTCAGGGATTAGTGGGGGAGGAATAGCAGAACGGCTAGCTGATGTCAGCTCTCTCACTGTCCAGAAAGAAGTGAATGACTTTTTGTCTACCAGACTGAGTGTCCTACGACACGTTCGCGATGGCTGAAAACCAAGACATGCAAACTCGAGAAGTAGAAGAAATGTTGAAAACATCGAGGTCAGAAACCTTCCGACACATGTAATCTCTGCTGGCATTAAGACAAAGCTCTGTCCGCGGTTTACTAGACCTTCTAATGTTGTGGACAAGCGAGGCTTTGCGTATACGCTAAACCTTCTGAGAAGAATGCGCACCCACCCGATGTGTTATGCATGCTTGCTTAAGCCGTACCGGGATCCAACGCAAGTGAACGCGGAAGTGTTGGCGCCGGGGCGGCACCCAAAGGCTCTCGGCCACCCAGAAGTTGAACCCGCACTTGGTTCTGAGCACGGAGTGCAACAATTTCCGTTTCCAACAGCACAAGGCACTTCACCGTCGCACGAAGTGTCGTATTCGTCTGCTCGACGGCTAGGAGCCACTTTGACAGAGTGCAGTCGTCCTCAACGTGAAGCAGTCGGTGCACAAAGTGATCCCAGCTCTCGAGGTCTTCCGAGCGCTCGGCAAGATGCTCGGCGGAGTGTCGATGACGACGGACTTTGTCCTTTAAAGCCCGAAGAGCATCGCGAGTCACCGGATGGCGATCGACCAAGTCGTCATCGCCCGCCGCCGACTCTTCTCGATGTGAATGGTGGTGTCCACTATCACGTGAAACGCCTCGTAGGTCGACGTTGTCGACAGGGTCAGACCCAATATTTTGTAAAGTGGCGGGATATCCCGACTCCGAGAACTCGTGGGAGCTTGATATGCCACTTCGGCAAGATCCACAATCGTCAAGGTTGGTATTAAACATCTTTTGTACGAAGCAATTGTTTCGAGGCACCATGATGGCGTCAAATCCGGGTTCCAGAAGGAGCGGAAGCCAAGAAGCCATGTTTTTAGCAAGCGACTAATCGCGATTAATGCCGTGGCTGATATCAGCGATGGCATAGGTTTTTAACAACAGCAACGGCGAATGCTGATGAACGTTGCATTTGACCTGGTAATGCTATCGATGGACACTGGCGATAAACGATTCTAATACTTTCGGAGTTTACTTAATGCAACAACCTACCCCCAACAGTAAATGAGCTTGAAAGTGATGATGACAAGGCTGCAAACCAGAGTGGCCGCGGTGGTAGCGATAGAGACGACGACGTAAAGGAAAACTTATTGGACAGGGTGCCTAGGCCTAATAAAGATGATACAAATTAAATATGCAATGATATCCAATATCGAATACTTTGAACATTGAAGAAAGGATACAAAGCTCACAGCCTGCAGAACAGATCCTTTTGTAACTTCACATTTATGGTAATGGTTTTTTGCAGAATCTTGCGGTACGTGCTGTATGGTAATCCTGCTCCCTGCTTATACTGAAAATGATGAAATGCGTATAAGTGTCGGCAAAGCGAGCGAGCAGACAAAAGATGTTTATCCATACGGAGTTGGTACCATCCAAATTGAGATATTTGCCTATGCTGACTATCGTTCGGGGCAAAGTAAGATCGTTCTTGTATGTCTGAGTCTGTTAAAGTGGTTCGAGTGGATTGACTAGAATGTCTAGACACACAAAAAACTTTTATGGCCGTGCATGTGAAAGAACATATATCGGCAGGACCTTGATCACACAGTATGCGCAGTGAAAGATTCTGCATGGTACTTTAAGGTAATTTTGGCAGAAATGTACGAAACGCTGCTTGGTGTGCAGCAGAAACAAAAATTGATCACTCAATGTCAAGCTGGGTGCTGTGCAGTGTTGTAGAAACCTCAATTTTGACACTGAAAGACTGCAGAGTTAGGCTTCGCAAAACGGACAGTGTGAAAACTGGTATTGTCCTTCTTAAGAATCTTTGCTCGGTAGAAATCTATTCAAAACTTCATCAAGTTTGATATTCTACTTCATCACAGTTACCAAAATTTATTAATACGTATTCGCATGTTTGCGCCTATTTGTGTGGCGTCAATGTTTGAATTGATTTAATTTAGTGTACTTTTAAACATAATCAGCTATGTTGCATTTAACCTTTGTTCTTAAGTAATTTATAAATAAATTGTCAATAATTCCCTGATACCCTTTCCACTTGTTTTTTAACCCTCCGTGTAAAATAAGTACTCTTCATCCATGCTGTTTTTGGTTTTGCACCTTGCCAAACGCATCATTCAGTAAAACATTCAAGCCAGAAATTGCAATCCTTTCTCTACTTAATGCTGATTGCATGCAAAGTAATGCTTTACGAAATGTGACACTTTGTAAAATGAAGATCCATATTTCGGCAAGAACCAAATATCAATTTAGGCCTTTTGCCAGCGACATATAGAGGATACGCACACAATCTATTCTCTAAGATGTCTCTCAGGGTGCGTCGCGCCGCGTTTCGAAATGCTTGTCCAGCAGTGTGGTATAAATAGAACGTTTCTGGTCGTTTATACAGACATTTATGGAAATGTCACCATATTACTCGCGATCGTCCGTGGAATGACGCTGGTTCAGTCATTGTAAGGTTGCTTTCATTAGCACTGAGCTGGTTACATTGTTCTGTAGCCCATTAGCCTTGATGACATACCTACAACTATAAAACTTGCTAATAAAAGCCCAAATCCAAGGGTGAATTTTGCGCCACCAGCGAGGGTTATCTACGCGTGAGTGGTACCGAAAATATTTCCGCTGGCTGAAATGCAGCACAATCAGTCTAGTAAGCGCGCTTCCAAAGCTCACTCATTTTTGATAGCCTAGTTGTCAGATTTTATGAATGTAAAACGAAGGAAAACAGCAATAAATTTTGTTCGTAACGGATACTTTTTACAAGTGTTGCTGTTCATTTTCTCGCGATTGTGTCAGTCACTGTGAGCCGATGTCATCCCTTGTTAAATAACTTTACAAAATGACTACGGAGCGTATATTCATCTAATTAAAAACCGAAGGATTGTTTTGGATTAAAATACACATATTTTTCTTTCCACAACAGCGCTAGGGAAGGCCAGCAGCTGATTCACGCATAGAACACTTTTTTTTTATTGATCACCACATCTATTTCTGAAATCAATTCTCGAAGACAATTAGTTCTTGAAATTTTGCGAATTGTTGATGCGGCTAACGACGAAGATGATACACAGTACATAGCTAAGAGATGCAATGTCGAAACAATATACCACGAAATCAACAATCTAGAAACTGCAAGATGAGTACTTCGCCAGCCATACCAAATATTGACCACAACAAACACTGAGGTACGTCAAATTAATAACGCTCTGGCTCGCCAATTAAACAGCAATATCACGAACTTTCATCAAACGTTTTCAATTGACACAGCTGCCAATTATTACGCATTAAAAATCTCAGCAGAATTTTACCTAGCTTAGATAGTCCCATCCGAATAATAGTCTCAACAAAATTTTACCTAGCTTAAAAAGTATCCCGGATGGGATCTAGGATCGTGTAATCCGAACTTATGTTCGGATAGTCAAATTGAAGCCTTTTCTGATTCGTGCAACTATAGGTGAGTGCCAGGGCCAGCATGTACTGATATAAAAAGTCTCATCCGAATAATAGTCTCAACAAAATTTTACCTAGCCTAAAATAGTCCCATCCGAGATCTACGTATGTTCGGGTAGGCCTTTTCTGATTCATGCAACTATCATGATAGGTGACAGCATGTGCTGATTACAAGGATCGTATTCTTCACTAATGACGATTTGCGTGATTTTCCAATTTGCTTTCGTCACAAACCTTCTCCCTGGCATAAGGACAAACGGTGCAGAATTCGGGTCTTTACCTATCACATACCTGCTTCTCGCCTGGACAGGTTACCTGGATTGAGCGAGTATAAGATGACGAAGGAATGTATGCGGCAAATTTTGCATTCCCACATTTTTCCGAATGCGCAAAAAGTGCATACCCCATAATGAAAAAATATGATGGATTCATACACATTGAGTCTTCATTTCTAGAAGCACACCGGCATATGGAGAAAAATTGTAAGGACTTAACATTGGACTTTATCTACTTTAAGCAGAATATCGAGGCCGATTCCATTTTCGTCGAGACCCTCTAGACCGGATAGTGGAATAACGAGAGAGACCCGAATCGGGACTTACTGCCGCAACATGTGGATGCTAATTAATCTAATGATATAAAAGTAGCCGAGAGAGTAAGGTTCACAAAGTAAGAAACGTAAGAAAGTAATGTTAAAGCCAAGTTTTATTTAATCAGTAGCGAGCTTCTAAGCTGATGCACATAATCTTGCATGTGAAGGCGCGCTCGAGCTATTCCTAAGTAACAGCTACATTGTTTTGCTGTACCGACATCACCAATTTCCTGAGCTAGTCGATACGCCTGATCAAAGGCCCGCTCCGCTCTAATAAAGTCAGATTGTCGGCCAGCAAGGTGGCCAAGATGGATCCACGCAAATATTTCTGCCGGGCGATCACTGACAGACTGAGTGAGTTGTAAATGCTGATTCATGCACGCTGCTGCTGTTTCTAGGTCCTCTTGACGACTAGCTAGCAACCCTAGGTTGCCAACAGCAATACTCTGACCATACGCACTATTCAATTGGATAGCCAAACGAAGTGCTTCCTGGTAATGGCGAGCAGCCTCGTTCGGTTCGCCAAGGGAGCCAAGAGTCAGACCCAAATTTAGATGAGCCACAAACTTTCCGGCGTCGTCTGCCACTTCTAGGTGCTTTTGATGATATACACGCGCGTTCTGCAACAATCGACTTTCCGCGTTCACATACTTACCTGTGTAACTATAGTCATTTACTAGTGAGAGAAGCTGATAGTTGACACCAGTACAGTTAGTAGCAAGCCCCATAAACAGTTTATTTTTAGTGCTTTCACTGATCGAAAGCACTAGTAGATAAAAATCAATCGCCTTCGAGTAATCCTCAATGTTGTCGTAAAGGATTCCGAGACTAGCAGACATTAGTATCAATTTAAACGTTCAAAATTTGCCCTCAGGTGCTCTTACCATAGATAAGCAATGCACTCAGCATCGTGCCGCCCTGCACGCTTGCTTGATTCGGCCAGCATAGAGTATTCCTTGATTAGTCTCGAAGATACCTTCCTGCCACTATTTTTGAGCTTAGATAAGGAGCAGCAGCTCAGCTTAGCCTCCAAATCTGCTCCATTGTCAAATGACATGCGTATCTGCTGCTTCAGTGTACGCAGTGCTGCAGCATGTGGTGAGAAGACCGTTTTTTGGATTCGCTCCTCTCTTGTTTGTGGGAAACATCTCGCGGGAGTTTTGATCTAAAGCCACTCAAGCGTTAGCAATTCAAATTGGTTCTCATTTACAGAAAGTAGTATATACAAGGACGGACACTCTCTGGAGCGTCGATTCGTTGTGGGAAATCTAATTGTGGAGCTGCTTCAGCAAGCTGTGTGCCTTCTTTTGAATACACCGCCGTCACATTCGATGCAGTACTAACGTAAGAAGTATGTGTTATATTGTAGACAATCAACAAATACAACACACGTACAAAGCATCGAATGCTCTACTCTGCGGCGATTTTGGCGGCGATCTTGCCATAACGTTCTGCCAGCCTTTTTTTCTGATGTTGAAGAGAGTTGATGGTCGAATCGACTTCCAGCAACATAAGATGATAGGCAACTGTGGGATAAAAATAACGATTTGTCAAGTTTCTTAATGGTAGCAACCAAGAATGATCCGAATTGCGCAGAGCCCATATGTGCTGACAAGTTAAATATTTTCAAGAGCTCTATCGGCAAAGAGAAGAAACAGAATTTTGTTCAGCCTGGAAAAGCCGTTGAGTGCCCTCTGGATCGCGAGGAACTAGGAAACGCCACTTGGAAACTGGTGCGTTCACATATCAGCGATAGATGCAACGGTCAAGACTGATATTTGCTGAATTCTTGGCGTCTAGCTGCACACAATTGGCATTTATTACCCAGACAAGCCATCGTCTGAGTATCAAAACAAGGTCAAGACGTTCGTGGAGACGCTGGCCCTCATGTATCCATGTGTGCATTGCGCTGACGACTTTCAAAAGGAAATCGCTTTGTCTCCACCACGGTGAGGTCATTTCATTTTTTATGTTGCCTAAGTTCTTATGCCTAAAACATATCCAGCGTAGAGTCACGAACGACTTTTTCAATTTGGCTGTGCGAGCAGCACAACATCGTGAATCGTAAGATCCAGAAGCCTGAGTTTGAGTGCACAATGAATAGGCTTGAGGAACGATGGCGGAAGGGACATCCTGTCTGTTGGGGCCAAGAGAGTGACGCAGAATCTGCTGGAGAAAGTTTGGGTCAATAGGATAAAGTGTTAAATTTCTTACTGCATCCTCCTCTAAGCACAGAAACGCTAAAGCTACAATTCGACTTATCGAAGAATTTGACTCTTACGCAATTGCTAAAGATCTTCGTGTTCCACAGATTTGTCTGCTTGAGGACAGACTACCGTACAGGAATACAGGTTATAATAAGTAATATAAATTAAGCAAATGTTGTCAACCTATACCTTGTAACGTGACACTGCACATTCGCTCCTTAGCAGGTGTGAAGTCGTCGAAAAAAGCACGCGTCAATTCATCTTCATATACACCCACAAATTCGCTGCACTATCAGAGTGACAGTAGAAATGTATATACACACACCAATAATGTTTCGAAGTAGCATAATGTTATTCGTCAATGACATGTATTTACCGCGGCGCTCAGCATTCGCTCGGTTTTGCGGTCAGAATCTGGAATCTTTAGGGGAACACTCTCGCACACGTCATCCAGTACTTCCAGTATGCGCGCCTAAGGACCGCATCATATCACATACCAGTTATGGTTGTACGTGACCTTCGTTAAGAATTGAAACATATATCCAAACCTCACTCCGCGAGTACTTGATTTGTTTCTTTTCTTCACTAATTCGAAAAACCACGTCCATCTCGTAGTCATTCTGGAAGCAAGCAATACCATAAATCACTACAGATCAGGTATCATCTTTCTTATCTATTCAGCTCATGTCCATCCATACCTGTGTATGGTTCAGCTGTGTTTCGATTTCGAACACGATCGACTTGCATACTGCGATGCATAGGTGAATAAGTGATTCAGCATTATCAGCTACATTATTACATAGAGCAAAAATGCAGTGATATATACTCACAGCAGCACGAAGCAAGCTGTTTCTCGCCATCACAATCGAGCTGCGCATGACCAGCGTTTTGAAAGCGCTTAGAGTGATCCCACCTTATTAGATTAAAAGACATCATAAATTCTTGATAATCCAGATACGATTATGAAATCTTCAAATTCTCACCTGTTCGTCCATCCTAGCGCTACAGGAAGCAACGAGGTTGCCGCAAAAAATGCCTTTACCCTCATGACTCGTTTATTATCTGCATTTGCTGCCGCGGCTAACGCTGTGTCCTGCGTAAATTAATTGAAACTAGCCAATTCATTGTGAGGAGAATTCTAGAATGCTCTGTGCAAGATACCACGTGTGCATCTTGTAGAAATTTACTTTTTTATTGCTCCAAAATAATAAAATCACAGCAAATTAATTTTGGAAAGATCGTGCTTCCACGTGCCCACGCATCGATTGAAGCATCACATTTTAAATTTCGCCAGCCAGACAAGAAGACTCTGTTTATCGTGCTACCATGAAAAAACTCCTATTCTCTCTCTTGCCGCTGCTTGTCGTGGCTGTAAGTTACAGCGGTTTGGTCGTGAACACTGTCCGCGCCGACACCTCGACAGAATCGGAAAATGTACTGGGGTGCGTAGATTGATGACATTTTGCTCATTTGTTGCACTCATTGATTAACTTTAATTGTCTTCACTGTGAATTCAAGAAGCACGTCAAATCTGGAGTTGCATGCTTTGAAGGATGAGCCCCTGACGGGTGGTGAGACATTCGCTTTTCAAGCAGAAGTATCACGACTCATGGATATTTTAATTAACTCACTGTACCGCACTAAGGAGATCTTTCTACGCGAGCTTATTTCGAATGCCTCAGACGCGCTTGATAAAATTCGATTTTTGGCTTTGTCCAATAATGAGCTGCTGGGTAAGCTGCGTGATCTGGAAATCCGCATCAGCTTCAATAAAGACGAACGCACTCTCACAATCCGCGACACTGGCGTTGGCATGACGAAGGAGGATCTTGTTAATAATCTTGGTACGGTAGCCAAATCTGGCACTGCCAATTTCGTCGAGGCAATGCAAGCTGGAACTGACGATAGCAGTCTCATTGGTCAATTTGGTGTTGGCTTTTACTCCGTCTACCTTGTAGCCGACCGTGTGCGTGTCGTCAGCAAGAACAATGACGACGATCAGTACATATGGGAGTCCGATGCCAACGCGTCTTTTACAATTGCCAAAGACCCGCGAGGCGACACGCTCGGTCGCGGTACCGAGATTACGCTATATCTTAAGTCTGACGCCACTGATTTTCAGGACCAAGACAAGCTCAAGAATCTCATCTCTCACTACAGCGAATTCATCACTTTTCCTATCTATCTGAACACAACCTCTACCGAAACGTACGAGGTCGCAGACGAATCCGTGGATGACGAACAGCCTATTAATAAGGATGATAAGGATACTGAGAAATCACTTGAAGAAGATGAAGAGCTTGAGACCGTTGAAGAAGATGAAGATGTAAAGACTCCTAAAACTCGCACTGAGACCCGCACTGTGTGGAAGTGGGAACGTGTGAATGAGGTGAAAGCCATATGGGTGCGCCCCAAGGAAGACATTAGTGATGCAGAGTACGAAAGCTTTTACCATTCCCTGCAAAAGACCGATACGACGAAGCCGTTAACGTGGATTCACTTTCAAGCTGAAGGCGAGATCGAGTTTAAATCGATCCTTTACGTGCCTGGTCAGGCTCCTCGTGATATGTACACTCGGTTTGAAGATAAGAAGGCAGACATCAAACTGTATGTTCGAAAGGTGCTTATTACGGACGACTTTGACGACTTTTTGCCGCGGTACCTTAATTTTATCGCTGGCGTTGTGGATTCAGACGATTTGCCTATCAACGTATCACGTGAGATGTTGCAGGAGAACAAAATTCTACGTGTTATTCGCAAGAAACTAGTGCGTAAGGTCTTGGAAATGTTGCGTAAGCTATCTGAGAACAATATCGACGACGACGGAGAGGAAGATGGTGAAGATGACGAAGAGGCAGACATGAAATCTGAAACGGACAAAAACTCAGAAGAGAGTGCTGAGGATCCCTCTGAAGATGAGGAGGAAGAAGAAAACGTTGCATACAACAAGTTCTGGGAGCAATTTGGTAAAAACATCAAGCTTGGCGTGATGGACGACGCTGCCAACCGTGGGAAGCTTATCAAACTGTTACGTTTTGTGTCAAGTGGGAGTGACGGTAAAATGATTTCGCTCGAGCAGTACGTTGACCGAATGAAAGATTGGCAGGACTCGATCTATTATGTTGCTGCTGAGAATGTTGAGGCCTGCGAAAAGTCGCCTTTCATGGAAAAGATGCGCGTAAAGGGCCTCGAAGTACTTTACTTTGTTGATGCTTTGGATGAATACATGGTATCGCACATTTCGGAGGTCGATGGCAAGAAGCTTGTATCCATTGCAAAAGAAGGCATCAAGTTCGGCGATGAGGACGAGTCACTTACGCAAAAACGCGATAAATTATACGCGGACAAGTATGTTGCTCTCACGACCGCTCTCAAGACCCTATACGGTGACAAAATCTCTCGCGTTACAATGTCGCAACGCGTTGTCGACTCGCCTGCCGTGATGGTGACGTCCCAGTGGGGCTACTCAGCCAACATGCAGCGCATCATGAAAGCACAGACATTTGCCAACAGTGACAAGAAGTCTTCAATGTACGGCACTGGATCTGCAATCCTTGAGCTGAATCCACGTCACCCTATTGTCTCCAAGCTCAACGAATTGATGGTAAGTGATTCCCAAAAGGAGGAGACCGAAGACCTCGCATGGTTGCTTTACGACACGGCGCTTGTTAACTCGGGCTTCGACATGGCGGACACCAGCCACTTTTCTGCGCGTGTCCATCGTATTATGAAGAGCAGCATGGGCATAGCAAGCTTAGATTTGGAGCCGGAAATCGAAATTCCCGAAGATGTTCCGGAAGATGACGAGGAAGATACTCAAGACTTGGACGAGGCTGAAGAGAATGAAGGTCTACAGTCCGGCGAATCTGAGAATGCTGATGGCGAAGTAAAAGATGAGCTGTAGACTGTGT